AAATGCTCAGTGGATATAGGCCTTTCAAATGGAACAGATAAATTTGGCATACAGCTAGTTTGAAAATTTAGTTTCTGGTACCTACTGACAAGCTCAGTTACGCCAAAGTCTACACCAGTTACGCCAAAGTCTAAACCAGTTACGCCAAAGTCTAAACCAGTTATAGGAAAAATGTGTAGATGGTGTGATCTATTAAGTCCCACAGTGCACATCTCAGAAAGCCAATCAATACCATAATATAATATATAGTGAGCGAGGGACAATAAATACATTCCCCATAGGACTAGTACAGAGCTCATCAGAATAAGAATACACGACACACCTTTTGTTAACCCAATTCACCCTACGTTGCAGCGGGCACTGCACCTGCGTCCACCTGGCTTGCCCCGAGCCGGGGAAAAAAAACTGGTCTGAACTCGACACACTAACCTTAGACACGCATTGTGCCCAAACTATTTAAGCTATCAATATGAAATGTCGCTTAGATTTTACTTTTAATGTTCTTTTAATATCATAAAAGAGAAAGAGGAAGGGAAAAGCAGAGAAAACTATATTCTTCGACTGACTTTGACTCATTGGCACTCGATTTACCCATAGCAAATTATTTAAAATCTATGGTCTAGATCTAGCTTTTTTTTTAAGCTTTCGAGACACTAAAATCAATCTGATAGGCTTATTTTTCTAGATTTAGATCTACTTTCATTTTCTCTGCCGCTTATAATTCCTAAAACAATACTAAAAACATGATTCATGTATTTTAACAAACACAAAAATAGTCGTGGCACTGTTGTTGGTTTTTGTTGGGGGGGTTTTTTGTGGTTTTTCTTTTTCTTCTCGTCGAAGATTTCAGTGCTCGCTTTCTTGCCAAGATTTGCGGTGACACTACAAAACTAACTCGTACTTTGCGAAAAACTGGATTTAAAAAAGCTAGAAATTTTTTTACAAGCTACAAGGTAAGCGACCTGTTACTTTCAATAGAAACCTGGACAAGTGGTTCGGACTCAATTTTCTGGACTGGTATTTTGCTACAAATACTGTGGTAGCTCGGTGGACGGAAGCGCGCAGCAGTTACGAGTATACTCGTAGCGCGGGTGCAATGGGTTAATGCAGAAAACAAGTACAAATACCCAGGATAATGGAGATTATACACCACACAGGGAACTAACCAGGGCAAAGGAACAGTCACGTCTAAAAAACACACACTGTCTCGTCAGATGACACACAGAGTAGTGTCATATAACACAGAGAGTAGTGTCATTACCTGAGTGGGCGCGGAGTTTGGCAGCTCGTTGTAGGCTCGCGTTCGGTCGTCTCTGTCCTCCTCCCAGGGCAGTTTGTTCCTCCCTCTCCCGGCACTCATGAACCTCCTCGGAGCAGGAGTAGGAGCCGAGACGTCGGAGCCCACCATGGGTGTGGAGCGAGCCGACGTAGTTACCGACTCCAGCTCGAGAACATCCGACCGCGATGTGCGGGCAGTGCCAGACATCCCCGCACCCACCGCCATGATCCACTCCGTGTCTGCACTCTGGATGGTTGAGGACCGCACCGTGGCTGAGGATGGGGTTTGTGTGGCGTACTCCACCAGGCCCTCAGACGTCAGCCTCGGTAACTGCTTCCTTGCCAGGCGGGCTTGCACAGCCGCCATCAGTCCTTCCCCGTCTGTGCTGAGCTCCACTTGGTCTACGGCAGACACCAACGGCCCCAGCTGACCAACGCCCATGACCTGAGCCAACATTGCAAAACATTCAAGGGCTGCTTGGCGAACTGCTCTTTTCACATCTGTCAAAGTTGGCCCAACCACATTGCAAATCCGAGGAAGATCAAATTCATACCTGGGAAATGTCAACAGAGCAGCTATAATAAAGTTTATAGTCTCTTGTCTGACACGAGAATTCCTGTGTTGGAGGTTGTCTTCAAGAACTGTGATGACAGCTTGAGGGGAAGAATTCTTCATCATTTGTTTCACGATATTCATAACAATTTGCCTGATCACAAATTTGTTGTCCCCCATTCGCTTCAACAGAGCTGATACAAGGGGTCTGACAAAGTTCTTGGTACTTTTGTCCAGCTTCTCCACTAAGCAAAGGAATATCTCCAAAGTGACATTGATAATTTTGAAGTTGGAATCATCCAGAAGATTACTGAGAAAGCTGATGAAAGAGTTCATGTGAGGCATGAGGCTTGTCGACACTTCATTGTAAGATGTATTTGAAATAATACTTTTCAAATCCTCAACAGCTTGAGCACGAGTTCGAAAGTCTTTCTGATCATTGATCCTACTTAGTATCTGACTTGGGACAACACCAAATTCTAAGCTCTCTTCCACGTAACCTCTTCTGCTATCATTTCTGCCATTCATCATTCCCTGATGCATGAAACCATTACCTCCAAAGTCTCCATTCAAATTATTGTAGTAACTGAGGTCCTGTTTACCAGACAATTGTAGGTAAAAGTTTTGAAGTGGCACAGACAATCTTTTCAAATACAACGCAAATGTCTTTTCACCTACAAGTCCTTCAATCTTGTTCAATGTTGACAAAGAGCTATCTTTCAAATTGTCTTCAGAGGATGTGTCAAGGAGTTTTTTTGCCAGAGACATGACGATTTTAGACAGGTCTTGATTCGTGAAATCCTTAGTGAGCAGCATTGGCAAAGCATTTACCATTTCCCTTCTCACAGACGCATTCTCATTCTCTAATCCTGTTTTCACTAGAGCATCAAACAGTGCTGGCAGGTTCCGAGTGTGCTTCATGTATGTGTGAAGAGCCTGAACAACGGCCCTTCTCACAGTTACTTTGCTGTCTCCAATGTTAGTCAACATCTTGTTCAAAACCAAGCTCATGCATGTGTCAATATCTTCTCCAAGATTGGGGATAATTTCCTGCAGTAATTGTATACATTTGTGTCTGATTTCCCAGTTTGAATCAGACAGGGCCAAACCAAGGCTCCTGAATATTGATTCGCCATCAGCATACGGAAGACGGCCCCCATTTCTCTTGACAGTGATAATAAGCTGCTCAAGCACCTCCACCCGCTTCTTGAAACTGTCGTCCTTCAATTGGCCCGCTACATCGTCCTCTTCCATATTCCACACCCCAGAAAAGGCCGGATCTATGAGACCTTCATTGAAGTCATGCAATGGAAACTTAGCAACTTGGACTTTACTCGCCATTAAAATAAATATCGCGGAAATATATTCAACAGAAACAACTAGGAGGCAAAACAATGCCTCCTATAATCGGGCACACCAACTCATTGGCGATGTTACCGGCAACACCTCACATACCAAGCAATTTCACACATGATCTTATGTCTTTTCAGGCTTGTCGCCAGCAAAATGGCGTCCCTCTTCTCCACAACAACATAATTGTGTTCATCACGTGACTAGTTCCCCGGATGAAATCACTGGGCTAAGTCGTTGGCACTTCGTTGCTATTTATATTCACTATTTTGTATAGACACGCTATAATTAATTTAAAATTGCTTTAAAAATAGCCTTAAAAATAATAAACTAGCCTGCGTACCCATGCTATGAACGGGAAAATAATGTTTTGTAGACAAAAAGTAACGTTGCGATGTAAATAAAAATGTCAATACTGTAATTATTTGATTAAAAAAGGATAGTTCTATTCTATTTTATACTTGAAAATAAATGAATTTTCAAAAGTAAACTCACCTAAGACTGATACGTACAGTCGAACCTGTACGGTCACGCATTGTCGTGGGGAAAAATAGCAGTATAAGACAGGTGGCCGTCTTAGGCAGGACTGGTCAAAATGAAGAAAACGAACTATTTACTTCTGAGGCCCCATGATTAAGGTGGTTGCATGTTAATGACTGACTGGGGCTGATTAAAATGTGCTGTTGTTGTTGTTGCTGTTGCTGTTAATGCTGTTGCTGTTGCTGTTAATGCTGTTGCTGTTGTTGTTGCTGCTGCTGCTGTTGCTGTTGTTGTTGTTGTTGATGTTGTTGTTTTATTTCTTTTGAAAGGGGGAGAGGATGGGGCGGTTTTGTGGGACTTTTTGTGGTTAGTTTTAGTTTTATTTTTTATTTTTAAATTATGATTCCGGTAAAGGTCCAAACAAAACTAAATGTTTCAGACGGGGAAGGCCAAGCGTGTCGTAGTAAAGCAAACAAATGGGTCGCCACCACTCGGCGAACGAGCGACACTCCTGTTGCGAGTGCGTTGACTTCTTTTGTTATGGACTGGGATTACGGACTGAGTCGGTCCCTACAGATCTAAGGTTATGACGGATCAAACGCTTCCCCCAGCAGCTGAAAATGTATTGTTACCCATTGGTCAACTTAGGTAAACATTGGGAGTGACCTAAGCATGATCGTTCATCCATTGGAGGGACTGACACACACGTCAGGTGAATGAATTATGATTATGACGTCTTGTCCACAACATCAGGGGAAAATGCATAATTTTTGACAGTCTGGCCGTCTCAGGCAGGTAGACTTAGCCGTGGGTTGATTAAATAGGGTGGTCGCGGCCGCGTTAAACAGGTGACAGTTTTACAGTTAAATTATAGAAAAAACACAGGGGGTGAAATGGATAGTGGTCGTTTTTACAGGTGACCGTCTTATAAAGAAGGCCGTCATGGCAGGTTCGACTGCATATCGTCCAAAACCTCTGGATATACAACATTCCCGGTTTGACTTGGGTGCCAAGATGTGATCAGCATCTTTATCTCCAGTTCGGGACATGGCTATATATACAACATTCCATGTGAAAATGCTCTGCATGTGAGATCAAGTCCAATAACTGTAGGAAGCTGTCCCTGGGCTCTATTAATTAATAGATAGCATTTGTATAGCGCATATCCCCGCTCAACAGCAGGCTCTATGCGCTTTACACTATATTATTACCCCAGCAGACCATAGACCACTCCGAAACATCCTCAGCTTCCCGGGAAGCATAGTGCGAGC